CGGGGGTGACTTTTCTGATTTTTCATGTTTCCTGAGTTTTTTCGCTGGGTCTTTCTCATCAGGCTACTTGGTCGAGAACTGGGAGTGCTAGGACTGGTTTGTGCCCCAACTTCAAGTCCCCAAGGGATGTTCCTTGACAGTGGTGGGAGGAGGCATGCTGGTCTTATATTGCCTTAGAGGTATTTTAGCGAGTTGGGTTATCTCTGATCTGTTGTCTTCACCTCTTGCCAATGGAGATTGGTGAGTTTGGTCCCCCAGCTTAAGCTCCAGGTGGTGGATCGCACTTGTATGTATAAGTCCACTGTCCTCTAATAGCTTGAGATGGTGGGCACTGTGCTAAGCCCTGGGGTTACCCTCTCTGTAGTTGGTTGTAGATTGTATAGAGGAGCCAGTTACTGAGGTAATCTGATGCCTCTGTGTTAGTCTCTGGTCCCCCTGATGGGGAATACAAATTCCCCAATCTCTAGGAAGGGTCTTGCCACCCCTGAGGGTTACTTGGACCCTATTCCCCCTTAAAGTGGGGGTGAGGGCAAGACAGATCACAGCTGATGTCTGCAAGCCTGGGTGCGTGTGTGTGCTTCTATGGTTGCTTGATCTGCCGCTAAGGGGAGCCGCTAATATGTTATTCAGGGCTCTTCCACCAGGCTTGGTAGGCTGCTCCCAATGGGAGGGGTCAATTTGTGCACCTGCTGGTGTCTCTGGCCAGGATTTTCCTTCCCTGACCACAGACCCCACTGTTGGCAGCCTCCTGGATGCAGACAGCAGGCCCTAGAGTTATGTTCTTATTAGATGATCTAAGCCAGGTCCAGCGGGCCAAATCAGTGGGCTGTCAATTATCGTTCAGTGCCAAGGCCCCACAGACTCACAACAGTCGCACAAGGAAAGCGTCTTTTCTTGTTTCTCCCCACCTCCATGGGCAGACCCCTCCAAACCCAGCCTGAAAGTGGCTGGGCTAGGGGAGGGGTGTTCCCTGAGACTGCCCAGCGCCCCAGTGTCTGGGGATCCCACAGATGGTGTCATCCCATCACTGGGGAACTAGCATTGTGGGGAAGCACTGGAGCTTTGCCCACTGACACAGGCCCAGCCAGCAGAATTAACAGGTCATGGAAGGGCAGAGCCCGCCACACCCAGCGTGAAAGTCCCTGGGCTGGGGGAGGGGTGCTGCCCAAAACCATAATGCGCCACAGCATCTCTGGGTTGTGGACCCTAAAAATGGCAGCTGCCCACCACAAAGAACTAGCACTGGGGGTAACCACTCAGAAGTTGGCAGATGCCAATTTAGCAGGCTGAATCAACAGAACGCTTGCTGTCCCATGTGCATCATAGTCTCACAACAGTCTGGCAGGGGGGTCTTGCTCTTTCTACCCACCGTGAGCCACCCTAATCATCAGTTTCCAGGGCAGAGTCCCCGTTTCAGTGTTCACCTCCTTTGTTCTTGCCCCATTGGTCACCAGAGTCCAGTTGCCTGTCTCCAAACTCCCTTACACAGTCACAGAAAGTGACCACTCAGACCAGTCTCTCCCCTGATCAGTGCAGTCCTAGCACAGAGCACTGGGGAGTTCAAAATGTTTCCTACTATTGTCCCCTCTCCACAGAGCTCACTGTCCCATGCCATAACATTGCACCGACTTCAGGTGTGTCCCTGAGTGGGCGTGGAGGTCGGTGGAGAGCCAGGCATCCTCCCATGGGTCAGATCCCCCTGCACTCACTGGCCGGGCAGATGCAGCCATCCCACAGTCTTGTTTATCTCACATTCTCCAAACCCTGCAATCGTATCTCCCATTCACCTTTTTTCCTGTGTTGCGTGTCCCACGCTGATTGTCTGCCATTTTGCAACGCTATTCTTGGCGGGGAGCAATCCACTCGTGTGCAGCGATCTACATTCTTCACCTTCATCTCTGGGAGTAGAGATCCAGGGGGTCACCTCTAATCTGCCATTTTACTCCTACCTATATCCACCTCCTTAAATGCTCTTTGAAGCAGTTTGAGCATTCTCCTGATTCTCTGATTAATAATTTTAATAAAAGCATGATACACATTCATTTTATGTTTGCATGGGAGTTATGATTTAACCTTAGTGAAATTATATTTTAACAATAAGGGTTATATATTGGGTTATAGTATTCAATGCAAAAGTTTTACTTGTAATCAAAATCATAAATGCATAGGGCTTTGGAAAGCAAAATATGTCTAGCAAGATAATTAAAGCATTGGTAACACCTGTTCCACCCTTTGCAACTCTCAGGTTTGCTCCTAAGAAATGGACTCTTAAAGCTCTTTCTCACCTCTGGATGTTTTTGCCAGCTCCAATCGATGTGCATAGATCACTATTTAATTTTGTGCTTTTACTTTTTCAATTTATTCCACTGAACAATCATGACTCATGAGATGTAATCACAAAGCATCACTGTGGACTGTTCAAACTTACTCTCCAGTTCAAAATCTTCTTGTGCCTGGATAAATACTTGGGGCATTTGTTTTCTATTACATAGGTCATACACATTATCTCAATACCAATAATTGGAAATCTAGTCCCATCCCATGATCACCTGACAACTTGATTTGAACTTTAGGCTCTCTTGAACCACAAGGTGGAACCCTCATATCCTGAGAAGGGGTGTGTTGGGAGGGAGGGGAGATGAGAGAGAAGGAAAGTGATAACTCATCTGGTGCAGAGATGGAAATACGGGATCAGCCCTGCCTGGACTTGGATGTTTAAATCCAAATTTCGTGGGATCAGCAAAGCTCTCCCATCAGTAGGAGAACTCATTTCTCTGCTGAGGACAAATACACCTTCAGTTGAGCTGGTGGTTTATTACTTTCTCAACCCTTACATGTCTGTTAATGTGACGAGCTCCACTCTGCTGTTTGTAATATTACACATCATCTGCAGCCGTCTTACCATATTGAACTCAATTCTCTTACACTTCCTTCCCCACACCACCTACCTTCCTTACATATAGTTTTGGTTCTTCTGTTTGGCTACCTTAAAGAAATGTTCATGTACAAGTAGAGATTTGCGAGGTTGTGTACTGTAGGCATACGTGTAATGTCAAATATCAGACACAACTGAAATGACTGCCAATATAGACAATTAAAAATGAAGTCATATATACACTGCTGAGCTATGTGTCAGGTTAAAAAAAAGGTTGGTATAGATACAGACACATTCACATTTTTTATGACACATAAAGTGGCCTTGTATATACTTCATAATATGTACTTTCACTTTTATTCTATCCACAATGAGACACACAAATGTATACATGTATCTCACTAAACATATCATTCTGCCAATTCCTCTGTTTATCCATGTTGATATATACACACATATAGCACTAAATGCATTATTCTGCAAGTTTTTCACTTTGTTAGTGTTGATATATACCTACACACAAATGTATATATGTATTTATATTTACATATCATGGTTAGACTAACAGTGAAAACAACTTGCAGAATAGTGCATCTAGTGTGACATCTTTTATGTAATGAAAAACAATGCTGTGTTGTTGAAAGATGCAGTCACATACATAAAACTACATGAATGAAATTGGAAGGCTATCCACGAATCTCATGACAGGGTTATTTGTGGGGTTTAGAGAGAGTGGCACGAGACAGGATCTTTTCCTTTACCTGTAGTGTTAGGTAGGGGGAATGGGCAATTTGTACTTTTCTGAATTTTAAAAATGTACTTCTAAAATTCTTTCATCAGGCAAGAAAAGAGGAAGAGCTTGAGTTAGGACCCCAGTAGGACTAACAGAAAGAAGGGTGCCCACGTCAGAGCAGCCTTTCCCATACTCCCAATGTCACCAGCGTCTTTCCAAGTGAACACGGAGAGAAAACCACAGTTTCTTCAGCCTACACCCTTGCACCAGTCAGTCACCAATAACAAACCCGATTTCAAGATTATCTGAAGTGTTTTAAGATATAAGATTGCAAATTAGTACAACCTGTATGGAAAACAGTATGGCGATTCCTCAGAGAACTAAACACAGACCTACTATTCGATCCAGCAATCCCACTACTGGGTATCTACCCAAAGGAAAGGAAGTCATTTTATAAAAAAGACACTTGCACCCATGTGTTTATCACAGCACAGTTCACAATCGCTAAGATGTGAAACCAACCTAAGTGCCCATCAGTTCATAAATGGGTAAAGAAAATGTGGTATATGTATACCATGGAGTACTACTCAGCCATAACAAGGAATGAAATAATGTATTTCACAGCAACTTGGATGGAACTAGAGACCATTATCCTAAGTGAAGTATCTCAGGAATAGAGAAACAAACACCACGTGTTCTCATTAATACATGGGAGCTAGATGACTGGTACACACAACCACGAAGACGTAAAGAACACTGGAAACCAAGAAGATGGGAGGCTTCGCGGTGGGGGGTGGGGGGATAAAAACTGACCTATTGGGTACGACAAACACTATCCTGATGAGCAGCACACTGAAAGCCCCGACTTCAGCACTACACAATGTATCCGTGTAACAAAAACATTTGTACCCCCTTAATATCTTGAAATTAAAAGAAGAGGAAAGAAGATATAATACTTTATTGAGTGTTTAAAATGTCTTTGGGAGGCAGGGTAGACATTTGACCATGAAAATCTTTCAGTGGTTCATCCATGGCCAAAGAGCAAATAAAGACATACATTATATAAAACACATCTGAACAGGGTGCCAGAAGTATCTCATCTCGGAGCGTCAGTGATTTGTAATATCTGGGTACAGACAAGCACACGTAAGGGGCCCCAATCCCCAGCCTTTGCAGGTGACCTCAAGCCAGAATGAGTCCAGGTTGCCTGCAATCAGGTGTCTGCTCCCGTGGTCCTGTCTCTGCTTCATCATTCGCATATGATTGTCAAGTGAGGATTTCTCTCTTCCTCAGCCATCAGTAACATCTGGGTTTCCTCATCAAATTCAGCTTTATTCAGCCTGGTATTAATAAAATATAAAAAAGGGTCTATTTTTAATTCACATTTTGTTTTCTGCATATCATCTTCCTCCATACCATTTCACCCCAGGACAAGTCTAGGAGACCCTGGTGTTGCCTCCAAGGGGAAAGGCATACCCATCATGTACAGTGATGTGCTAATAAATACTTACCCATGGATCTAAAAAAAAAAAAAAAGCAGCTCTGGATTTTTAGCTTTGCCTATTTCTGTGGCATAAATTCTCCAATCCAATCATGGCCAACTTCAAGTTGCCAACCTGCTGTCACTGAACACCAAATTATGAAGAGATACGCACAAATGGATCTCACCAGCTCATAGGAGCTGGCTCTAACATGTCACTGGACAGAATGAATGTCCAGAGTTGGTAACACAAGCACCAACTCCACAAAAATGTTAGGGTTTGAAACACGAAGTCAGTGGAAGCTAGGGAGAAAGACTGAAGCTCTTTTTACTTTCAAAAAGATAAAAAGTACTAATAGTTTCCATTATCTGAGTGCCTGGTCCTGGCCCTCTGCTTAGACTTTTACATGTGTATCTCATTAAGCTTTCACAACCTTAGGGGATACCATTATTGTCCTCAGTTGTGATGAAGACACCAAGGCTAAGCCATGTTAAGGAATTGGGCCGAGGTCAGAAAACTAGAAAGTGATATGGTCAGGATACGGATCACAGCAATGTGGTTCTGGAGCCCCCACACTTATACATCACATTATGTTGTGACTTTGAATCAGACAAGAGGATTAAGGATCGCTGTGTCTTGGCTCTTCTGGGGATATGGGATCTCCTGTCTCTGTTTGGTATCTGTTTATTTGCAACTGTCCCAAGTAGCTTCATCTTACTGTTGGAGCGAACTATGTTTCTTAGTGCAATTGTTTATCTCCATATACATCTTTGTGAAACTAACCACGGTTGGGGGCAGGGCAGGATGAGATGCAAACTCACTTATTTGGTTGCATCATATTTATCGCATCATTGGATGTGTATTTTCATAATTACTATGTCAAATAATTACTCCTATTGTGCACATAGAAGACTGATAATCAGAGAGGACAAATGCCTTGCCCAGGGTTATAGGACTAAACATGGAAAAGCTAGAATTCAAACACAAGCCTCTATGACAGAAAATGACAACGCAAGTCTTTCCATGTCACCATGCATCAACTCTGGCACTACCCATTCTGAACTTTTACCAAAATTTAAAATGAGAAAGAAATAATGCCAGGCATCCAGAATTTTTAGATGGAGATTTAGAAAAATGAAGTTCAAGGAAATGAACCTGTATCTTCATAAGAGGGAAAAGAAGTGAATGTTCTTTAGCGCTGGAG